GATTTGAAAATTTTCTGCCTTTTTTCCTTCTTTCTTTTTTTTTTTGCATCGTTTTTGGTTTTTGATTAGAAGAAGTAGCATGAAACCAAAAAAATTTAGTGATTTTGTTGATGATTAGTGTACAGTGTGTGTGTGTGTAAAGAATGAGAAGAGGAAAAAAGAAATTTAAGAAAGCATTTTTGTGTTGCCAAATTAATTTGTTTATTATTTATTTATTTGTACCTACAGTTTCTTTTCGACTTTTTTATTTAATGAAATCTTTTTTTTTTGAGAACCTGTGTGACACACTTAAGAGTATACTTTTTATTGAATTCTACTTTGTTTTTTTTTTTTCTCCCTCTCCCGTCCCTTAAAATATTTGTTTGGATTCTTCTCTTCTGTTTTTTTTTCCCCGTTTGTTCTCTCTACAGCTATTATATTTAGTCAAACACTGGTAAATTTGGAATTTAAAATCAATTGATTTTTTCAGCTGTATTCCACTATTATTTTTTTATTTTTTCTGTCTCATTTTTACTTTGCTTATTTATTTATTTATTTATTTTTTTACTTCTCATATTTTTTTTTTGCTTCATTTTTTTATACAGCCCCACCAACAGCTATCACCCCATTGGTATAGCAGTTGCGCAATTTAATTCTGCAAATAATTTGGTAAAAAAAAAAAAAAAAACTTTTGTACAGGAAAAACAAAAAACTGCGTTTAAGTAGTTGCATAAATATTGTTTAGTTTATTGTGTGCCTTTGATCTGTTTTCTCGTTCAAAAGCAAATCAGTTGCTTCAAATTTCACTGGACTATTTAGCAGGATGGTTAAATTGTGTGACGCATAGAATAGTAGTATTTTACCGATACCTTCCTATAAATACTTATTTTAAGAATTGAAAAAAAAGTTTTTTTTTTTCTCGACTGACAGCGAAGTTGTGGTCGACAAAGGAGAAAAAAAAAAGAAAGGAAGGAGGAAACATCAATAGTGTTTTTATGCGTTTAAACAGATGATAATAGTAGCGGTATTAATGGTGTTAGCGATAATAACAGTTATTTTAGTTTCAATAAAGATAATAATAATAGAAATAAAAGCAACAATAGTAAAAATAATAGTAATAACAATGATGATGAAAATGGTAATTGTATTATCAATAATAATAATAATAATAATAATAATAATAATAATAATTAATAATAATAATAATAATAATAATAATAATAATAATATAATAATAATAATAATAATAATAATAATAATAATAATAAGACAATAATAATAAATTAATTTTGAGATTTTTCGGAATCAGCCCTTAGTAATAAAAAGGAAATGGTGGAATAATGACAGTACAAAAGTGAAAAAATAAAAGTGAAAAAGGACGGACAAAGCTTTTGGTAATTCCAATGTTCCTTTCTGTTTGATACAGCTATTTAGTGGTGGTAATAGTGGCAACAGCCTATAAGCTTGAACAAAATGCTTTAATTATTGTACCAAAAATTCCTGTTTATTTTTTGTTTTGAGCAACTTCAAAATTTTACCTCTTTGTCTATTTTTGCTTCCATTTTATTTGTTAAGTGTTTTTTTGTTATTAGTTTTTTTTTTTT